AGCTAAATCCCCAGCCCAAGCTTTTTTTTTTTTTTTTAATGAAATGAAAGCAACACAAACTTCAAAGATAAATCAGAGACTGTTGATCCCCATGGTCCTCAAAACATTGATGAGTAAGGATTCTGAGCATTTCTACTTCCACATTTGTAAATACACAGTCCTTAGGACAAATTTGGTAACATGACAGTCTGAAATCTGCTGTGCAAATGCTAATTCACTTATAAAGCCCAGCAGGACTGGGGATGTTGAAAGAGCTGTTCTAGTGGGAGGACCATAGGTGAACAAGGCAGGTTGTGTGGCTTGGATGTAGAACTGAGGCCAGAAGCTGTGTTATGGGGAGTCATTTCAGCAGATGTAAAGGAAGATTTTTAATAGTCTTCCTTACACACCAGGATGATCCCTTGTTTGGGATGCTGTTAAAGAGGCTTACTTGGTATGGGAGATGCAGCTAAATCTCAGAGTACCTAATATTTTATGAATCTAATGAAGCATTAAAACCATGCTCTTTGCTGGGTGTGGTGGTACGTGTTTGTAATCCTAGTACTCAGGAGGCTGAAGCAGGAGGACTATGAGTTTGAGGCCAGCCTGGGCTACATAGTGATAGTGAGTTCACGTCCAGCTTGAATTATATAGTGAGACCCTCTCTCAGCCCTCCCCCATGCTCTATGAATGTCAAGAAAAATAAGACCAATTGGAAAGCAAGTTAAACCGTGTTTTTGCCCTCCTTATCTATAGCTTGTATTTTCTTAAGTATTAAATTTCTTATATTAAATTGTATTTTGGCTTGATTGAGCTAATTGGCGTTTTTCTCCCCTATAGTGAGAGGGTCCAAGCCAGGTAAGAATGTCCAGCTACAGGAGAATGAAATCAGAGGACTGTGCTTGAAGTCTCGTGAGATCTTTCTCAGTCAGCCTATCCTACTAGAACTTGAAGCACCACTCAAAATATGTGGTAAGTTTTAGCACATTGAATTTCTTTGGTTATGTGATTGAGTCAAGGGTCCGTTGACTTTGTATTAGCTAGCAGACTCATTCCTGTTTAATAACGTGGAACTACTTAAAATAGCATTAGAATAAATGCCTCTAGTGGACTTAGTTTACTTAAATATGTTTCATATTTTAAAAGATATTTCACTGAAGAAATGTAAACACAGAAGACAAAATGAAACTTAAGAATGGAGAGCTAAGAAAGGTCTAAATTACATTAATATAGGGTTATATTTGAGCTTAAAGCAACTCTGGTTATACCTAAAAATACAACTTGCTTTTGGAGCTCATTTAGTTTCACACTATTGTACATAGTAGAAGCAGATAATCTTCTATACATACTGTAAACAATTAAACTTTGTTCATTTGAGTAATGATATATCTATTGTATTTGATTTGTGGATAAAATTTGTATGCATCTCTTTTATTTTTTTGGTATCGGGGATTGAACTCAGTATCTTGCGCTTATGAGGCAGGCGAGGTGCCACTGAGCTAAATCCCCAGCCCTGTATGCATGTTTTTTGAAGTGAAATGCTCTTTGGCATTATCTGGCAGGGAAAAGTTGAAGTAATGTGGGTATGGAGTATGCTTTTGTTCTGTGAGGGCCAGGGCTCACTAGATGCCCAGGCGTTCTGTTGACATAGTATCTGGAGACTGAGCTGTTAGAGATCAGATACTGATCAGCCAACCTGAAAGGAAAACCATGTTACTTGGCAAGAAAGCATGCCGAGACATAATACACCTTTCCACAAAATAAATTCTTAATTAGTTGAATTTTGTGTGAGATTCTGGACATACATGTGCGCTTAAAATTTTCATTATGGTGCATTGAATGAAATATGATACAAGATTGGTAATCACTTAGTGTTAGCTGTCAAATTAAGCTCTCATTATTAGAGATCATTCATTGTGCAATGAAGTTTTCAAGAATGTCTTTCCAGCCGGGAGTGGTGGTGCACGCCTGTAATCCCAGCACTTGGGAGGCTGAGGCAGGAAAATTGCTGCAAGTTCAAGGCCTGCTTGGGCTACATAGTGAGTTCAGAGCCAGCCTGAACTATGTAGCAAGACCATGCCTCGAAAAACCAAAAAAGAAAGAAAGAAAGGTCTTTTCAAAGCCTTGTTAGTGAATGTATAGATATGGTAACACTGTAACCACATTCTTGCTTCTAGGTGATATCCATGGACAATACTATGATTTGCTTCGTCTTTTTGAATATGGTGGTTTCCCACCAGAAAGCAACTATCTGTTTCTTGGGGACTATGTGGACAGGGGGAAGCAGTCATTGGAGACTATCTGCCTTTTACTGGCCTACAAAATCAAATATCCAGAGAATTTTTTTCTCCTCAGAGGGAACCATGAATGTGCCAGCATCAATAGAATTTATGGATTTTATGATGAATGTAAGTACTTTTTATCTGAGGAGATACTTAAGATATGGTTGTTACAATCAATGAGAGTTTAGACTCAGTATTATAACATTGTGCTATTAACTTTTCATTTTTTCTTAGTAAATAATGCTATTATAATCTTCTGAGTTTTCTTACATGATGATCAGTTTAGGACATAATGATCACAGTAGTAGTTTCTTTAACATAAGTCTTCTGAGTGTAGTACTCACAGATAGCTTAATTTTTAGTACAATTGAGAACCTGCCCAAATAGTTTTTGTTTTTAACAACCTAAGATTGATTTCATTCTATGAGATTTATCTCTATTATATAATTCAGAGGTTGGTAGTAAATGTTACAGAATTGTGCAAGTATCACCACAGATCTCTGCAGACACTAATCTGCATTCTGCCTCCAGATTTGTCTTTTCTAGAGAATATTGTAAGCTCAATCTTGTAGTGTATACATGATTAGTTTTTGAAATATATATTAGTTTCCTTTGTCCTGACACATCTATACCTTAAAATGTGCTGAGTAGAGAAAGTACTAATTTTTATTTTTTATAATATCTTATGCATTTTGTGACCCATTTTGGATTGTTTAACCAGTTTGGTAGAGGCGTGTGTTTTCCCCCCTAACACTGGGCACTGAACCCAGCACCTTTGCACTAAGCTACATTCCAAGACCTTTTTTGTTTATGTATTTATTTATTTGTTGGTGCTCAGGACCTTGCTCTTGAAGGCAGGCTCAGTGCCACTGAGCTAAATCCCCGGCCCCCAAGACCTTTTTAAATTATGACATAGCATCTTGCTGAGTCTCTTTAAGTTTCCCATGCTGGGCTAGAACTTGCTATCCTTCTACCTCAGCTGGATGCTACTATACTGGAGCTGTTATTATTGTTTTAAGCAAACAGTAAATGTCCAAAAGGTTTCAGATCCTTGCCTCTGCCATCCTTTTGTGTACATTTCTCTGAAGAGAGAGTTCTGGTTGGGAGTGGAGGGGTGATTAAGGAGTTTTGGTCACTTAAGAGTTGCTGATACCGTCATCAGAAGATGAGTGAAAGACTGTCAGTGTGACCCCCCTCCATGGCAATCATAACCTATAGTTTCTCAAAATGTTAACACGCACACCAGTATCTTGAGTCTTAGAGATGTGTTTGGCTCATTTATTTTTACCCCTTTTGGGGGGCGGGCTTACCGGGGATCGAACTCAGGACCTTGCGCTGTTGAGGCAGGCGGTGGAACCACTGAGCTAAATCCCCAACCCATTTTTACCCTTTTTTTCGAGGCAGAGTTTTGCTACGTAGTTCAGGCTGGCCTTAAACTCACTATGTAGCCCAAGTTGGCATCAGACTCTTCAGTGGTAATCCTCCTGCTCAGCCTCCAAATGCTGGGATTTCAGGCCTGCAGCACCACACTCAGCTGGCTCACTTATTAAATATGCATTCCTAGAGAGGTGATAGTCATAAACTTTTTTTTTTTTTAGTTCTTTTATATACATTTTATACATTTTAGGTATACAATTCATTTACATTTATCATTGGGTGTTTGTACCTGTACATGATATATCTTGGTTCTTTTTTTCCCATTACCTGTGCACGCTTCACCCCCTCCGCCCTTCCCTATTTACATAGATTTCATTTCCTTTTTTTTTTTTCCTTATAGTTTTTCCTTTCTCCTTCCCTTGCCTTCACTCCTTCGTCTTTGGACCTTTTTTCCTATTTCCAATTATCAGTTATTCATTTTAATCATTTTAACCCTTGCTTACACTATCAGTTTCTCACAGTAGTGAAACTTCGGTATTTACACATGTGGGTCCTATTTATTTCACTTGCGTATGGCCTCGATATGCATCCATTTACCTATAAATGACTCTAGTTTTTCGTTCTTTATGGCTGAGTAGTACTCTATTTTAATAAAAAAACCACTATTTATCCAGTTTCCAGTTGATGGGCACTTGGGCTGCTTTCAAGCTTTAGCTATTATAAACTGTGCTGCTATGAACATGGGTGCACATACATCACTGTGGTATGATTCTTTTAATTCTTTTGGGAAGTTACCCAGCAGGGGAATAGCAGGGTCAAATGGGACCTCTAGTCCTAGTTCTTTGAAGTCTCTCCATACTGACTTCCACAGTGGTTGCACCAGTCTGCACTCCCACCAGCGATGGAGAAGGGTTCCTTTCTCCCCACAGCCCCGCCAGCATTTGTTGTTTGTTGATTTCTCAATAGCAGCCGTTCTTTGTGGGGTGAGGTGGAATCTCAGTGTTGTTTTCATCTGCATCTCTCGAATGACGAGTGATGTTGAACATCTTTTCATATATTTGTTTGCTGCTTTTACTTCCTTTAGACTTAGCCAACCTGAAACCACCTTTCCAGGGACTGGAGATGTAGCTCAGCACTAGAATGCTTACCTAGCATGTTCAAAGCCCTGGGTTCCCCAGTACCATCCAAAAAATCAAAAACCATGTTATTGGCCGGGTATTTAGCTCAGTGGTGCCGCTGCCTGCTTTGCAAGTGCAAGGTCCCAAGTTCGATCCCCGATACCACACACACACACACACACACACACACACAAAAAGCAACCATGTTATCACAGCTGGATGTTTGCTTGGTCTGTAACCTAGAGATCCATCTGATAAGATGAGGTGGGAAGAATCACCAGGGAGAAAAGTCTTGTGGGTTCTGGAGTGACTTGGACAATTTGAGTTGGGTAAAAAGGACATTTGATTATTAACAGTGAGTCTCTATGGGAGAAGTACTAGGAAAACAGTGACTCTAAGGAGGTAGTGAAATTGGGAGGCAGGGGTTTTTGTATTACTGAGTTTGGGATATTGATTACAAGTCTTTGGACTAGGAAGCATTCCTTCGACATTACTGTTACCTCAGCAAGTACTCTGTTGCTTTTGTTGATGAAATTCAAATCCAGATGGTCTCTTTTGTGACATAAATCCTAATATAATGGTATTGAATGCATCAGTTTTGGGTTGTGGTTAATCCAGTGGCCTTTAAAAATGATTTAGAAGCTCAGTGTTAGTTAATAGCAGTTCTTTTTTTCTTGGTTTTTTTAAGACGGTGTCTTGCTATGTAGTTCAGGCTGGCCTTGAACTTGCTGTGTAACCCAGTCTGGCCTCAGAGTAACAAATACTCAGAACTAAGGAGAGGGAAAACTAACATGATTTTTGATAGATGAGCCAACAAAGATAGCAAGAAATAAGCGAAAGGAGGTAGAGTGTGTTACGTGAAGCTGTCTCTAAGAAGAAAGAAGGCAGTGGAGATGTAGCATATAGGAAAGGAAAAGTTTCCAGGAAGGCCAGCAAATGATTCATCAGAGAAGGGTTTCAGTAGAAAATGGAGACAGAACGAAGTCACTATAAATGAGTGCTGAGACAGTCTGGCCTATGTTTTTATGTCATCATGATCATCACTATTAGAAAGTGGAGGTGTAGATTGTGTGTATGTATGTTCCCCTTCAGCCTTTTTTTTTTTTAATAATGAGAAATTTAAGTTTCCAGAACCCTCCAGGGCAGGAAGATAGAGGACAGAGAATTAGTGGCTTCCAAAGGGTAAACAGAGATACACGTACCACTTCCTTATACTGAATGTAATCATTATTTACTGCAAATGTGTACTGATAAAAAAATTTATAAACAAAAAACAAAAGGTCCCAGTCATCAGGAAACCAGAAACTGTCAGAAGAGACAGCAGTCTTCATTGCAGAGGGAAAAGTCAAATGTTTGTTGGGTTTGCATTACTTTTCAGGCCCTGAACTAAACTTCCCACCCTGCTTGATTTGTATTGGGTTGAAAGATGTGGTTCAAAAAGTCTGTTGCTTGGGCCAACTCTGACTTTCAGAGAAGTGGTACATGCTCGGCCTTGAACTGTTTCTCTGTTCCCCAGTATAAGGAAGAAGAGATACTAGGACAGTCTTAGTTTAGGAACAAAGGCTCTCTTTTAGGGCACAGGAGGTACAAGCACTCTAAGCAGTCCCCAGTTAATTAAAAAAGATTTATGCTTCCAAGGTTGTGAATTGGTTTGTGAACTCAACATAATTTTTCATGTAGAATGTTGGAAGACATACTTCTGTCAGAGCTGCACTCTGACTCAAAATGTGTGGAATACAAGTGCTGCTAAGGAAACATAACCACCCTGTGGTCTTGACTCTCTGGGGAGTGTTCTAAGTTTTTAAAGTGTTCAGGACAGATACCCTGAAGTACTTGCAGTATGCGGTCTCTTTCCTATAATCATCCCCTATAGTTGTTGTACCTCCTGCCAGCTTGCGGTGGGAGTTCTCTCATATCAGTGGGTTTTTGTCGGAAAGGGGGATGGATGTGAACTCAAAGCTTTCCTTAGAAGGAAGGTGGTAATGCACACATAAAAGCTATGCATATTTGCCTTTAGGAATAGGAAGCTCTACCTATAGATGGAGATTGAACAAAACATTAAATTTAAAAACAATTGGTGCTACCGAATAATTAGGATCTGATGATAAATCTTAATCAGGATCTTATCTGAAATTTTTATTTCATGCTTCATGGAGTTTAAGTGTATTTCATGTGAAAGTGTAAATTGTTGCTTTTGATCAGCTGTCTCTCTCATACACCTGTATATCTAATCCTAAACCCACCAGGAGCTTGTTTTGTTTTTTTGAGTCAGGGTCTCTGAATATAGTCCAATCTGGCCTTGAACTCACAGCACATCCTCCTGGCTCAGCCCCTCAAGTGTTGGGATTATAGGCATGCACCACTACAGCTGGCTCACTTGTAGATTTTGTTTTTGTTTTGGTACCGGGGATCGAACTTGGGACCTTGTACTTATGAAGCAGGTGGCAGAACCACTGAGCTAAATCCCTGGCACACCTGTAGATTTTTAATAAGAGCATAATTTTAACATAATAACAACCTTGTTTTGAGGGGAACTACCCTGAGAGAAAGAACACTAAACTCTTTAATTATTGTAAATTTTCACAGGTAAAAGAAGATACAACATTAAACTATGGAAAACTTTCACAGACTGTTTTAACTGTTTACCAATAGCAGCCATCGTGGATGAGAAAATATTCTGCTGTCATGGAGGTATGTGGGCTAATTTTCTCTAAAAATAGCTTTTTGATACCTTCTAAAGATGAATACTGACATTTATGAGTTGCATTGGGATGGTGACCTCTGTCAGGTAACTCTGCTTTGTTGATACATTACCTCATGTATTTACTGTGACCCAGCCAGGAGGATGGATGTTTGAAGTAAGCAGTTGATTTGTTTCAGGGAATTCTAGACTCTTAACAGTTTGATTTGAAAATACAGCAGAAAGTATTTTTAAATATAAAGAATACAGCCATTAATTTGCTGAGCCACAAGTCCTCTCGAATACTGAAAATGTGAATAGATTTTTTTTTTTTTATCCCTGACCTTTCTCTGCCTTGAATTCTAAAAGCTGAGCTTTTGCTCAATAGTTGTGCTTTGTATAATGTAATTAAAATAGTAATTGTAAGTAAAATAGTAATTTTTGTCTGTGGTGAAAAATGAAGCAGCCAGCTTGGCCCAAGCTTGCTCTGCAGTTTCTCGCTCACTCTTCACCTGTACTTTTTCAAGTAAATTTTGCTATAGTTAAAAAAAAACAAAACTGGGCCGGGGATTTAGCTCAGTGGTTTCCCTGCCTGCTGCGCAAGCTGCGAGGACCCGAGTTCAATCCCTGGTACCAAAACCAAAAAAAAAAAAAATGAAGCAGCTATCAAGGAACCAACATAATATATTTTAGTTAAGGCATTCTTGTCTGCCCTCCTGGGCTTAGGCGGGTTTTGGTAGAGTTGGGAGTGAAATTTTTTTACTTGAGTGAGAACAGACTACATTTTATTTGGTCGGACAGAGCTACACGTGGTAATAACATCTAGTAAATACATTGTATCTTATTCTCATCAATTGGGGAGGCATGCAGAGTAGTAGTTTTTTGTTTGGTTTGGTTTGGTACCGGGGATCAAACTTGGGACCTTGCACTTGGCGGTTGAAACCACTGAGCTAAATCCCCAGCCCAGAATAGTAGTTTTTAAAGTCTCTGAATTTTAACTTTACAGGATTCTATATAATAAGGTAACTATCTCCATGTACTGTGTAAACATATTGTGTCCTGCAAGTTAGTGCGTACAATAAATTCCAGTGCATATTTGATTATTTTCTACTAAAACTAAGAAAGCATAGATTTAATTTAGGCTTTATCAGAGTTACTGAGTCTATAGACAAATGGAACTGTTAAAAGTGGTATTGTCTTTTGTGAACAGTTTCGCTTTGTTTTTCTTTTATTTAATAGGTTTATCACCAGATCTTCAATCTATGGAGCAGATTCGACGAATTATGCGACCAACTGATGTACCAGATCAAGGTCTTCTTTGTGATCTTTTGTGGTCTGACCCCGATAAAGATGTCTTAGGCTGGGGTGAAAATGACAGAGGAGTGTCCTTCACATTTGGTGCAGAAGTGGTTGCAAAATTTCTCCATAAGCATGATTTGGATCTTATATGTAGAGCCCATCAGGTATTGATTTTGAATTTTACATGTACACTTAAGAGCATGTGTGTGAGCACAGATTCTCCTTGTTGATTTTGGTGGGTAGGTATTGCTTATTTATACAGTGTCTCTGGAAACAACCTGTCAGGCTCAGTGGGACACTGTAGAGTGGTTTGAGTCACCTAACATTTGCATCTACTTATGGTGAAAAAAATGTTCTTTCCAAGGTGGTTGAAGACGGATATGAATTTTTTGCAAAGAGGCAGTTGGTCACTCTGTTTTCTGCACCCAATTATTGTGGAGAGTTTGACAATGCAGGTGCCATGATGAGTGTGGATGAAACATTAATGTGCTCCTTTCAGGTAGAGCATGTTTTCAACATTATTTCTGCTAATTTTAAAATAATTGCTACGTTATCCTTCTGTTACTGTTCATTTATGTTGAATAGGCTAAATTTTTGTTTTCCTATAACCAGTGTTTGTCCCATTTGAGTAATATGTGAATTGTAGGGAACAGGGAAAGGGCACGTTACTAGAACCTCTGAAGTAAGTCCTAGTCTCCTATGAGCCACGGCAGCACAAGGTGAACTAACTTATACAGGAAAGGTAGAAAAAATGAGACTTTGAGAAGAAGCTGAGTTTTGGGTCTGATCAGTGCTGCTCTGGGTGGCAAAGATGAAAGACCCCAGTTTACTGCACCTTTTATTTGCGGAACAGATGTAACAAATGACTTGCAGAAAGTTCAGTACATCGGGATAAACAAAGGGTAACAAAGACTGGGGGGCAGTGAAAATCCAAGAACAAGGAGGAACTCAGTAGATGAAGATTTTGTAACTCCCAGGATGTCTCCCACTCTTGTAATCTTGTCCTGGAGCATCACAGCATCACCAGATCATTGAGATCTCAGTTGTGACCAGGGGCCAAAATGGAATTATGTCTCAAAATGCCATAGCTGGCCTGTAGGCAGGAGAACTAGGCCTAATCAAATGATTTTTCCCCACAATGATGTAGAATTGCTCCTCACAGTGGATCCCTTTTAAAGGGGAAAAATTATAATGGAATCTTTCTCCTAGTGTTGACTTTAACTGTTTTTGGATTTTAAGCAAGCAAAGGATTTTTTTAAAAAGGATCAGCTCCTTGTACTTAATGGATCTTTTCTAAAGTTAGGCTGTCACTATAATGTTTGTCTAAAATTAAATCACTGCTTGTGTATAAAAATAGTACTAACTGCAGTGTGCCAGATGTGCTATGTGATTACTTAGTTCTACCCACTTTCCTGTAGTCTAATTTCTACAAAACCTTTGTTGAAGTACATGACATCCTTTGACCTTCCACTCAGCACAAAAGCATTATTTATGGATGAATCTGCCCTCTTCTTTGTTTCATTTGCTTATTATGACAAGCTTAACCACCCTCAAGCCAACGAACATAAATATAGCCACTGAAATCTTGTGGTAGTCTGAATTTAAATGAATGAAAACAATTTTACCGTATTCTAGGGAGAACTTGTAGATTGTACAGGGATTTGAGAAACACTGTTCTACATTTTTTTTTTTTTTTGGTACTGGGGATCGAACTCGGGACTTCCTGCTTGCAAGGCAGGCAGCGGAACCACTGAGCTAAATCCCCAGCCCAAGAAACACTGTTCTAAAAAATTTACATCAGAAGTGGTAGCTAGAGGTACTGTGGACTGAAAATTGTTTTACCCAGAGGGAAGATACTTTGTTCAGGTCATATATTTTATCTGTTAATCATGGCATTCATTACCAAAATGTTTTCACATCAGCTTGATTTGTATTACTATGTTGGTGAGGCTTTCAGAGTTGTTGGGACAGTTTTAAATAGCCAGAAACCTTTCTGAACAAGAGATGTGAATGAGATTTTAAACTTTTTAAGTTTGGGTTGAGTGTATTTCCTAAAACTCACTTGTCTTTTTTAATTTTCTCAGATTTTAAAACCTGCAGAGAAAAAGAAGCCGAATGCCACAAGACCTGTAACACCTCCAAGGGGTATGATCACAAAGCAAGCAAAGAAATAGATGTCATTTTGACACTGCTTAGTTGGGACTTGTAACATAGAGTATATAACCTTCATTTTTAAAACTGTAATGTGTACTGGTCAGCTTGCTCAGATCTGTGTTTGTGGGGGCCCTTTTGTTTTTGTTTTAATGAATGGCATTTGCTGGTTGTAACAGCAAATGAAAGACACTCCACTCCCAAGGAAAAGTGTTTTGTTTTTGTTTAATTCCCTGTTCCTTTTGCAAACAACTTTAATGATGGTGTTAAAACTATACACCCTAGGACAGTTTATCCTGTTAAGGGGGAGGGGTAAGTGTATAAGTGATCTTTTTTAATTCAATATAACCCATGAATAATGTAAACGCTTGTTTTCTTTAGAATATAAAGAGAGCCCTAGGGTGCTCTGAATCTGTACATGTTAATGTCATAAAATGCATATTATTGTTGATACAAACCACTGTGAACATTTTTTTTATTTTAAAATTTTGTTTTAAAGGGATTGCTTTTTCTTACTGTCTTGTCATGTACAAACTAGTTTTTATAGCCGTCAACAATAGAAGTAATCTTCAGCCTTGCCAGGATCACTGGTATGATACATATTTAATTAAAGCACACTTTCCCCCACTTACTTAAAATGATGATTAAAGCCATTCTTTTAAATGTTTGTGACTCTTCCTAAAGCCAAAGTTTCTGTTGGAATTGTATTGCCACCCCACCCCCAGTGCAGAGTGGCATGGCTTCAAACACACGCCACCTCCTTGGGGATTCAAAAACAGGTTTTTTATTTTAAATAGTAATTAGTAATATAATGGTATTTAAGCTATTATGATTAAAGTTAATTACATTTTGTACAATTTCCATATAATCTATTCACTAAGTAATCTTTTTACAGTTGGACCAGGCCTGAACCCGTCCATTCAGAAAGCTTCAAATTATAGAAACAGTACTGTTCTGTATGAGTGACCGATTATGCTTTCTTTATTCTGCGGTGAAGTTGAGGCTTATAAGTCAAAACAAAGGAAATAACTTGCTGTCCACCAGTTTATACAGAATTCACAGTATCTATGACTTTTTTAAACTAAGATCTGTTAAAAAAAAAAAAAGAAAGAAAGAAATCTGTTTCAACAGATGACCGTGAACAATACCATGTGGTGAAAAAGAATTCAGACTTATTAAATGACAAACTTGTTAAATCTTCTCAGTGTCTATTTATCAGCACAATACACACAGGAAAACTGTTGATGGTATATTGAACAGATTTTAATGAATAAATTGCTCTGGAAACCACAGTTTCATCTTGGATTTGTCTTCTTTCAAATAGCCTTTCTGAAGATACGTTACAGATGCTCGTGTTCTTTGACTTCTTATCTGCATATAGCCATTTTTTGTTTGTTTTTTGTTTTTGAGACAAGGTCTTGCTATGTAGTTCAGGCTGTCCTTGAATTCACAGCCATTCTCCTGCCTCAGCCTCCCAAGTGGTGGGATTATAGGTGTGTTCCACCATACCCGGCATAGTTAAATACTGAAGAGTGATGAACTATTGGGGAGGTGGGGCTTAGTCTCTATCCATAGTTTTCCCTGTTTGGGTTCACCTAAAACTTAAAAGCCATTTTTTTTTGTACCAGGGATCAAACTCGGGACCTTGGGCTTGTGAGGCAGGTGGTGGAACCACTGAGCTAAATCCCCGGCCCAAAAGCCACTTTCTTATGCAGACTCAGCCACGTACTTTTTCAGGTACAATTCTTTAATCTCTTCCCCCTTACCTGATTTTTGATTTTGTATTGCTGAGGATTGAGCTGGGGCCTTCACACAGAGATACATCACCTGGCCGGGGATTTAGCTCAGTGGTTCCGCCACCTGCCTTGCAGGCGGAAGGACCCGAGTTCAGTACCCAGTACCAAAAAAACAAAAAACAGATACATCACCAGTTTGTGTTTACTTTTAATTTTAAAACAGCTAAGTTGCTACATTCCCTGGGCTGGGTTTGAACTTGTACAGGGGACAAGGTGTATACCCCCCCCCCCAAGCTGTCCTTCCCTAATTCTTGAGTACAGTGTTGTCATATCTCATTGTCTCAAATGTGTCAGATATATATCACTTTCTCAAAATACTGTACAAGTCACTTGCAGAGCACTTCATTCCTTTGCAGACTGACTTCCCTCGAGTGGGGGAGGACCTCCCAGTGAGGCCTGTGAGTGCACACAGCTGTGAGCAGTGAGCTGGGCTGCACTCTGCGAGCCGCTGGCCGGTGGTTCCTGGCCTGCTCTGTTGATGAGGGAGGTGAGATCTCATACCTTCCTGCTCCACACTGGGTGAGTAAATAATACTACCCTGAACATTATGAATTGTCACTTCTGGGATTTCAGAAGTCTGTAAGATTAAATTGGGCTTGGGGCCAGGGATTTAGCTCAGTGGTTTTGCCACCTGCTACGCAAGCACAAGGACCTGAGTTCCATCCCCGGTACCAAAAAAAATAAAATAAATTGGGCTGCATTGCTTGAGGTTTACCAGCCTCTTAGCATGGTAGCTAGCTTAAAATTATTCCAGAAAGGGCCAGGGATTTATTTAGCTCAGTGGTGCCTCCACCTGTCTTGCCAGCAAGAGGTCTTGAGTTCAATTCCTGGTCCCTGGTACAAAAAAAAAATTATTCAAAGAACATAATAAACATGTAGCATTGGTTGAGAGCAGAGTCAGTCTGGATTTAGGATGCAAGATCCTTGGGAGAGACTGAAATAATGTTAGTGTGACACTTCTTTTATCTCTGTGCCTTTTTCTCTCTTGGTGGTGCTGGTGATTGAACCCACTGGTGTTCTCCCACTCAGCTACTTCCCTAGCCCTTTTTTATTTTTGAGACAACTTGGCTAAGTCCCCAGGCTGGCCTCAAACTTGGGATCCTCCCTAGGTTATGCACCACCACACCCAGCTTCAGTGTGCCTTTATCATCTACGGGTTCCAGTCGTCAAAAGTCCTAGCTTCTTTCCAGGCCGTGTGGCTCTGTTGAGTGAGTGACTTAAATGCTGAGCCACACTGTCCCCACCTACGGAACAGGCAGCAGTAGCTGCCTACTGTCCTAAATCTTGAATGCAATTACGATACAGCAATTTTTGACTCGTGTTCAGTTTATTGCCTTACAATATATCCTGGTGGTTTTGTGTGTTTGATACCACAGCTGAGTTCTAAGTGGCACGTACTTTTTGTTGTAGCCCTCTTACGACCTGAGCCATGGGTGACTAAGCATTCCTGAGCACTTACTGTATACAGAACAGCACTATAGGTTTTCAGATTTTTAAAAACAGGAAACATGAAGTTGTTGAAGTTACTTCAATAGTGTGATATTTTAAGTTCTACTTTTCCTTTTAAGTCATTTTCTTAAGCATTTCTGGTCTTAGGATTACAGCATCATTATAAAACATGTTAACTGACCTCATGTGGCTTAATACTCCGTGTAGTTAAAACCTGTCCACGTCTAGCTGCAGTGGACAGCACAGAGGCTAACACTCCTTGTTCTTCAAGACCTTAGGCCTAGGTACTTCTCTGGTCACATACACATAAGTATAATGGAACATAGATTAGGAACAAATTGAATGCAGAGCCAGCCAGAAGGTGCAGGATTTGAGTGAAAGGAAGTAAAACCATCTGCCTCCCATTGTAGGCTGGATGAGGGTTTGAAAGGGAAAGAATGAGAAATGAAGGTCTCAGCTGGTAAACTAGGGTGATGTGAGTGTCCGTTCCAAGAAAGGACCCAAGAGAGACCCAAGGAGGGCAAAAGTACCGTTAGAGGGACAAGTGGCTTGAGAAATAATAGACTTGTTTTGGCAAATTGTAGACAAAGCATGTGACTTGAAAATAGACCCAGAGACCAGTGTCTCAATGCAAATACCACATGAATTCAGGAACAGAGGACAAAGCTGTAGAGTATGAGGACAGAAGAAATGTTTTGTTTGTGCTTGGGTATAAGGAAAAGTATTAGAGGAACCTTTCAAAAAAGTAAGTTAAAATATGTTTGAAGTGCTATCTGCCTATTATCTCTAGAGAAATAACCTGAGCTTATTCAACCTTATGAACCAATTATTTTGACTGCAGGGATGGTTTTAATGGGGAGCAATAAACTTCAGTTCTGCAATTCAGCCTAGAATATCACATCCCCTTGATCCAACTTTGGTCTCCTTACCTATAATATAGGGCAGTGGTGGTAAGCATCCTGCGGTGGGCTGTTGGTATCACTAAGGTTTGCCATCACTGATACAGGGATTAAAATACTTACCTGATGGATTGTGAGGAGTAACCCACAAAACCAGCAGCTTGGCTATGTGTGTAATAAGCATTCAGCAAACACTTGCTAGTATAAGCAAAGAATGTTTTTAAGATGTAAACTTAGGACATCACAAAGGAATGTAAAAGTTACATTAGGAAAACCTTGTCCTTACTGACTTGGGTGTGTGAGCTTCAGAAGAGTGGAAAAGACGACAGACACACTAAAGGCCTTCAACCTCAGCCCAAAACTGAAACAATACTTAAGCTCCCTAGCTGCCTTAAATATGCCTGATTAAAAGACTGATCACAAAGGTTGCTGCCATCCAATCTGATCCCCATGACAGCTTCAGTAGTGTGTATAGTCTTGGCATTTGGATGTAGTCCAGATAGCTGAGTTTCAAATACAGGTAAGCATTTTAGGTGTGAGAGTTACTATGAGATTGTCGGTTATATGAAGTATACACGTTACTGTTAAATAGTTAAGTAAACTTTGAAATAAAGTTTCCAATAGGGAAATAGTATCACCCAGATAAACTCAGGACTGTTGAACTAACAAAAGTTTGTAAGAATCTGAAGGTAACAAGACAAAATATTGGAAGTGAATCTGTAGCAACGATCTTAGTGCTTCTGAAAATGTTCAGAAAGCATCATGAGGTACTGCACAGAGCATTTTAAAGTCTAGGAACCGGAAAGGAAGACAGGCCATCTTGCCATTGGGATGGAAGTCTACCATCCCAGGGCCAGTCAGTAAACTTGCTCTCCATCAACCTCAGCTCAAAGTGGACATCCTTACTACTGCATATGTCCAGGTACCACAAGAGCAATAAAGCCACTGGTAGTGTCAAACTGGCAAGTTCTAACAATTCTGATAGTTAATTTGTAGCAAATTTTTGGGCTAATTTCATATTCATTCTTGTAGCTCAGATAACTAGTTCTCTGATACTAAGCTGTGACCAAGTACAGTACTTTATTTGTGCCAAGGATTGAACCCAGAGCCTTAGCACTGAGGTAACCATCCCTACCCAATTATTGATTTTATACTCATTTAGCTAAAATATATATGGTGCAATATAGAAATGACTCCAAATTACCATGTTAAAATGCATATCCCTTTTTTCTTCTAGCCATCCAATTAGCACAGTAGCAAATACTGTGTATCCCAGCGAGGACCAGCCCACATACCAGTTGTTCAGGGCTGGTGAACAAGGGAACAGTGAACCAGTCATTATGTTCTTGGACAGACTGGCTGCTTGACCTTTCCAGCAAAAGCCCTGGCAAGTTAGGTATGTGTGGCAGAGAGCGAGTGGGATAAAGGGCATTCTTACTGAGGTTGGCAATAGTTAATAGGCCATCTGCTGAGGATTTGCTCATCCTTGGCTCCATGAGCCTGAGTCAGATTGTGTACCTGTTACCAAAATGAAATTGTTATCCCCTATAAACACCATATAGCTTTTCTTCTCAGGTTTAGTCCTAATCGTCCAGGTTAAGGGAGTTGGAGTTGACAGCTCAAGACTCAATCCACCTGTTAGGAGGGATTTACTAACGCACAGTATAGTGATAAGGTGCGTGGGTTCATTGTGGACTGGGTGGGCTTAGACTGGCTTCAGGTCTGTACTCCTGTTGTGTGGTCCCTGGGCGTGTCTGTCTCCTCATGACATTGAGCTAAGAACAAGAATATAGACAATCTTGGGGCCAGGGATTTGGCTTGGTTCTGGCACCTGCCTCACAAGCGCAAGGTCCCAAGTTCAATCCCCGGTACCCCCCCACCCCAAAAAAAGAATATAATACAGACAATCCTAAAATTTGCTGAAGTCCAAATTGCTGACTAGATACATGTTTTATTCACCATGAATGGCGTACTTGATAAGTTAGTCTACAAATAATCCTGTTCATCAGTATCACTGAATTTATAACCTCAGCCTCTGGTTTTGCATTTATAAACCTAAAAGGTTGAGAACAGTGATCTGAATTTTCTTTACAACTCCAGAAAGCTAGGACTCCTTCCTCTAAGTCAGTGATGGTGAACTTTTTAGAGCTTTCAATGATAACAAACAGCCCCTGCAGCACATATGCCATAGGTTCACCACTACTGCCCCAAGACAATGCTGCCTCAACTATTTGCTAGGTGAAGCCTTTCAAACAAAAGCTATAACCAAAGGCCTCACATCTAAAAACAAAACTAGAACACCTGGGGGCTGCTTGTTCTCACCAGTATTCATATACACACCCCAGGATTGAAACCATTGCTGTAGGAGAAATACAGGCTGCTGCTTAGAGGGCTGCATTTGTAGACCAGCATTGTAGGATGGCACGTCATCCTTCTAATGGCGACATCCTAACTCTGCGATGCCTTGTCCAAGATTCAAGTTGTTAGCGTTGCATGAATGACACAGTAGATCAGGAGAACAATATGCAGACCTGATAAACATTATTAAGGAGACCAGGGTTTCACTTGGAAAAGGTTTCAGTGCAATTTTTATCGCTCTGTGTGTAAAATTTATTTTGTAGGTTACATATTTTATATACACTATATTTTTTGTCTACCACAAGCTCACCTCCTGGTTAAGAAATACAGTATTACTGATACCTTAGGAGCCTCTGTGTATACCACCTCTATTACGTCTCCCTCTGTCCAGAGTTAATATCACCCTGAGTTTGCAATTATTTCCTTGCTTTTCTTTATTGTGCATTTAGCCCTAAACATATCATTAAATTTTGCTATTTTTTTTAACTTTATAGAAAGAATTATATTGTGTGAATTGTTTTCTTGACTTTGTCTTGGACCAGTGTCAGCCCACACATCTCCCAGTTTCTTTGCAACATAATCAGTGGATAGGCTGCGATGTTCTCTGTTCACTTCTCAGAACAGAACAAGGGAAAGGCCAAATGAGTCTTCTTAGATGCTTTGGAATGCTTGAATATTTTTTTTGCCATTAAATTTAACAGGGGTCTAGGGTGCTATTTCTCTTTCATCACAGTCCTGTCTACCTTTGCCATGTCTTCAGATTTTCTTTTCTCTCTCTTTTTTCTTGGTACTGGGGATCAAACTCAGGACCTT